GGAAGCAGGCTCCCTGCCGAGCAGAGAGCCTGATGCGGGACTCAATCCCAGGACCCTGAGATCATGACCTGAGCCGAAGGCAGCGGTTTAACCCACTGAGCCACCCAGGCGCCCTTTTTTTTTTTTTGGATAGAGATCACAAGTAGGCAGAGAGAGGAGGAAGCAGGCTCGATCCCAGGACCCTGAGATCATGACCTGAGCCGAAGGCAGAGGCTTTAACCCACTGAGCCACCCAGGCGCCCCAAGATACAGTTTCTAAGGAGAGGGATGTTTGGCAGTCTCTAGCAAAATTGCATGTACATCTACCCTTTGACCGAGCATTCCTGCTGCTGGGAATCTATCCCAAAGTTACACTGACAAAAATATAAAAAGACACATGAATGAGACTGTTCATTGTGGGTCTCTTTACAATAGCAAAAAAGTAGAAACAGTCCACAGGACACTGGTTGTAAAAAGAAATAAGGAATGTCTCTCTGTACTGCAGTGCTGTCGTTTCTATGTTTTTTTAGTGGAGAAAAGCAATCTGCAGAACAATGTATGGGATGCTACTTGAATCTAAGACAGAGGGTGATATGAACATAGGTAAATATATGCCTAACACATGCATGCATAAGCATAATAGAAAAACAAAAACTAATGAAAATGATTACTTGTGGGAGGGAGGGAATACGGCAGAAAGGACAGAAATAGAATTTAAATCTTTCTGAATGTAACTGGTTTCATAATTTTGACATTGGAACTCTATAAATGTTTTACATAAATAGAAAAAAAAGTTGTTTTTGTTTCTTAAAAATGAGGAAGAAGAACAGGAGAGGAATTGGATGTAGCAAGTTTAGACAATTTTTAAGATTAATTTTGCTCAAGAGCAAGAAGGAACTAGGGCAGCAGTTCATGAGGCAATGTGAATTGGTGGTTTGTCTTAAGACAGAAGAAAATAGTAGCCAGGACAGTGTCCTTGATCTGAGCTAGTGTGCAGCTAGAGGGGTTCGGTTTGGGTGGGAGCGCAGGGAGCTTGTTGGAGCAGGACAGAAGGTGGCATCTGTGGGTGTGGATGCTTACTGGTTGGGGGCAGATTTGGTGGCAGGACTCTGGAAGGGACCTTAATTGCTTCCATTTTCTTTTTGAAGCAAAAAGTAAGGTTATGACCTGCCTTGAGAGTGAAGATCAGGGACTTCCTTGTCATTGGAGGTACAGCAGAGGAGGACATGGGAAGGAGTCGTCTCAGGAGCAGAAGCACGAAGAGACCCAGGGGACACAGTATGACCTGAATTGAAGCGAGATCTAGTCAGTGAGGTGGTGTGATTTTGTCAAGCCATGTTGGGCAGCATGTGTGAGGAACAGCAAGTCAACACAAGGAAGCACGTTCAAGAACGTTATTCTTCACCTACTGAACTCTTTTCTCTCTACTGATAGGAATTACACACTACGAGGAGAATATTACACTTAGAACGTAATTTCTTAAAATGAAGTTAATTCTATCTTCTTAGTGTTGACCGAGTCAGGGGGCCTCATTTTGTGATGTTGGGGAGTAGAAGGTGTTGTGACGTCAAGAGCAGAAGAGCTCCTTGACAATTCCTATGTTCTTTAAAAAAAAAAAAAAGGTAGTAATCTTTCATGGTGTTGTCTTGATTACCATGTACGTGCTGGTGACAGCTATCTTACAGACTTAGAGCTAGAGCTACATACTAGCAATTATCTTTTCCATTGGCCTCCAAATAGATGCCTTTCCAGACCAAGACGAAAGACATGGAATGAATTCTCATTTACACGGGAGACCCGAGAAGACAAGAGGAGAAGTCCCAATAATGAGAAGCAAAAGGACCGCAGGTGATGGGTAGTGAGATCAATTCCTCTCTGGAAGGGTCGGTTAATGCTCAAGTGTGTCATCCTTTCATGTACGCCATCAATATTTGTTATGATCTGTTTTGTCTGATCTCATTATTGGAGTCTTTGTTCTCATTTTATAGATACTTATTTTCTTAATGGGCCTTTGGCCATCTTCTTTTCACATGTGTCTTAATAAAAGACAAGGTTTTCTCCCACAGAGTTTTCCATCCAAAGAGTCTTCTTAAAGTCCTTGCAGAGTCTTTCACATTGTGGTGTCCTCTGCCCCCCGCCTTTTTTTTGAAAAATAAATACTATTTAGGGAAGATGCATTAGCTTGAAATGACCTCAGTCAATACAGTGTTGGATGACTGTGGAGATCACCTGACCAACCAGGTGGAAAAAGAAACCAGTTTAAAGTACATCTGGTGATTATTCTGAGGGGTCTGACCTCACGTCTTCAAGTTTTAGATGTCTTTGTCAGCAAGCCCTCCAAAGACCCCTTAAAAGAGCAATCTAGAAAGTGCTATTGTAGACCCATGAATATCTTTCTGAAGAACAAATGTGAAAATCAGCTTCTCTAAATGCTTTTGTAACTGGGGACTTGTGAGGTGGACAAGAAGTGTTTCATAATAGCGTTAGATCGAAGTACAGTTGGTATGCTTCCAACACTGTTAAGTAATTACAGAAGTCACTCTGATGATAATTAAGGCACTGAGACTGAGGACGCATTTGAAAAGTTTCAGTAAAGCCAAGTGGCGAAAAGTGAATTTCCAGAGAGCAGTGCTGGGAAGTTAATACACTACTTCAGATGAGGCAGGGGTTTTTTTGTGTTTTTTTTTTTTTTAAGATTTTATTTATTTATTTGACAGAGATCACAAGTAGGCAAGAGAGGCAGGCAGAGAGAGAGAGGAAGGAAGCAGGCTCCCTGCTGAGCAGAGAGCCCAGGACCCTGGGATCATGACCTGAGCCAGAGGCAGAGGCTTTAACCCACTGAGCCACCCAGGCGCCCCAGATGAGGCGATTTTAAACGTGCCTTTGTGGAACAAGTTAACTACGTTAAGTAACTAGACATTAGACTGTTTCACTTACATCCTTAGAAATGATACAGTCAAGTTTGCCCTAAAATAACTATCTTTAAATCTCCTCATTGAGAAAGGAGGACTTTGCTTTTATTTGAGGAGTTGCCTTATATTTATGTATGCATGGTCCTTCGAAAAATTTTTTTTTCAATTTTTAAGTAATCTTTATGCCCAGTGTGGGGCTCAAATTCACAACCCTGAGATCAAGAATTGCTCCTCTACGCCAGCCAGGTGCCCCCCCCAAAGTCCTTGGAAAATTTTGTGTCACTTCATTTTACCTGTGTTCCTGTTAAATTTTGTGTAAATTGGTCTAATTATTTGATGCTGAGAATATTTTTTTTTTTTAAAGATTTTATTTATTTATTTGACAGACAGAGATCACAGGTAGGCAGAGAGGCAGGCAGAGAGAGGAAGGGAAGCAGGCTCCCTGCTGAGCAGAGAGCCCGATGCGGGGCTCGATCCCAGGACCCTGGGATCATGACCTGAGCCGAAGGCAGAGGCTTTAACCCACTGAGCCACCCAGGCGCCCCATATGCTGAGAATATTTTTATAGTAGAGTTTATCACACTTAAATGTGTTTTAATAACTGATGTCATTTCCGGCCTTGTTCTGTGCTTTCTGGGTCTAATCCTTCCTTGCTGCTTTTTTCGTCCTTTGTTGGAATTTTGCCCTTCAGTACTCTTCTTTTAATTGTTTGCCTTCAAGGAGTTGCTCTTTTTGAAAACACATTCACGCACCTGTGTTTCTCTAATGGTTGGGCTCCGAAGTGAAACAGTCTCTTTTGGAGCCCCCTCATCTGGTTAAAGGAATATAATACATGTTTGTTTTTCCTTCCCTCCATAGATTTTGTTAGTATAGTGTGTGGATTTTTTTCAGGTTATTGTTATGTTGGCTTTTTTTTTTTTTAAGATTTTATTTATTTATTTGACAGAGAGAGAGTGAGAGCACAAGTAGGCAGAGCGGCAGGCAGAGAGAGAGGGAGAAACAGGCTCTCAGCCGAGCAAGGAGCCCGATGCGGGACTCAATCCCAGGATGCTGGGATCATGACCGAAGCCCAAGGCAGCCATTTAACTGACTGAGCCAACCAGGCGTCCCTATTATATTTGTTTTGTTTTTTAAGATTTTGTTTATTTATTTGACAGAGAGTTCACAAGCAGGCCGCGAGAGAGGAGGAAGCAGGCTCCCCGCTGAGCAGAGAGTCCGATGTGGGGCTCCATCGCAGGACCTGAGATGATGACCTGAGCCGAAGGCAGAGGCTTTAACCCACTGAGCCACCCAGGCGCCCCATATTGGTTCTTTAAAATAGATTTTATTTATTTATTTGAGAGAGAGTAAGGGAAAGAGCAGAGGGAGAGGAAGAGGGAGAGAATCTCAAGCAGACTGCACAGAGCCTGACATGGGGCACAGTCTCACAACCCTGAGATCGTGACCTGAGCTGAAACCAAGAGTTGGATGCTTAAGCAACTGAGCCACCTGGGGCGCCCTTGTTTTTTTAATATGTAACTTAAGAATACTTCTTAAAAACTTTTGTCAAAGTCCTATTTCCAGCAAATTAGAACATATATCTGTTTTAACTGGCTTCACATTTAGCACCAATCATTTTTATACCGTAACTTTACCCTTTTTGAGCTCTTAATTTTCTATCATTTCTATTCCAGTTGTTTTTACAAGGAAGATCCACTGGTGGAAATATTTTGGGAACTCATGGATACTCAAAATGTCTTTCTAGCCCCTTCCCAATAGGCCATGTTTTAGCAGGATGTACAAGTTAAAAACATAGGGTCAGTTGCTGTAACAGAAGTCAGAACGGAAGCTTGAACAAATGGAAGTTCCTTTCTCTTCCACATCACAGTGTAAATTAAGTAAGGAGTCCAGGGCTGAGAAGTTGCCTCCATAGTTTACGAGACCTAAGCTCTTCCTGCCTTGTTCTACTGTCATCACCTTGTGACTTGCATCTCATGGTCTATAAAAGCTGTGTTAGATCCCTGCCTCCATGATCACGTTCTATCAACTAGGAAGAGAAGGGAAAATGGGAAACCTGATTCTTTCCTTTAAGGGCATAGCCTGGAATTGCACGTTACTTCTCATATCCCATTGGCCGGGAGCTGATCACAATGCCATGCTGCTGCTATCGAGGGAGGCTGGGAAATGTAGTCCTTAATGGGGCTACCGTGTTTCTTTAGAAGAAGGGGTGGGGGATAAGCAGTAGTCTGCAGTACAAGGAACAGCCTTTCCTTTCTCAGCCTTCCCCTCAAAACTCTGCAGACACCATTCCCTTGCTTTTTGGAATTTAATGTTATCTTGGAAAAGAATATAGTCAGACTTTTTTTTTTTTTTTTTAAAGATTTTATTTATTTGACACACAGAAAGAGAAATCACAAGCAGGCAGAGAGGCAGGCAGAGAGAGAGAGAGAGAGGAGGAAACAGGCTCCCTACTCAGCAGAGAGCCCGACGTGGGGCTCGATCCCAGGACCCCGAGATCATGACCTGAGCCGAAGGCAGAGGCTTTAACCCACTGAGCCACCCAGGTGCCCCTAGTCAGACTTTTTTTTAAAAAAAAACAGGTAGCCTTTTTCCCCCCTCTATCAGATTGTAAAATTTCTTAATCCTTGTAATACGGAAGTTTTCTTAGCAGGTATCCAGGTCACTTTTCACTGATTTTGCCTAAAATGTGATATTATATATACACATTTTTCTTAGTTCATGAAAATTCTATTCTCTTTTACCTATACATCACTTACATTTCTAGTTCTAGTTCTAGTTTTGTCCATAGGAAATACCAGTTATCAGGGCACCTGGGTGGCACCCTGTGCCCCCCCTCCCCCTCCTACCCTCCCTCCCTCCTCACCCCCAAACGCTCACACATGGGCTGTTACTCTAAAAAATAAAGAGGAAAAAGAAAGACATGGCAACTAATCAGTACATCTCAGAACTCTGTCCTCCCCCAGCAGTAGTGGTTACAATGATTCTTTGCTAAATAAGACCTATCAGTCCTATCAAGGCAGAGAGACTGTTACAGGAAGAGAGAGAGATGGCAGAGCAGGCTCGTTGTAGCCAGATAAATTGTAATGGGTCTAGAGCACATGGCTTGAAAGAAGTCAACCTAAGTTAATAGCAAACAGTCATGTTAACACACTAGTAGTGCCTTCAGATCATGGTTTTCTTACTGGAAAATGTGGAAAGGGAATGAAAGCAATAACCGAGCTCTGGTAAAATGTCAATGATCATTTTCTAAACTATCAGACTACAGGGATGCCTGGGCGGCTCAGTCTGTTACACATCCAACTCTTGGTTTTGGCTCAGGTCATGATCTTGGGCTGCTGGGATTGAGCTGAATAGAGAGTCCGCTTCCCCTCTCCCTCTGCCCCTCACCTCCACTCATGCTCTCTCTCTTGCTTTACTTTCTCTCTCAAATAATTGAATAAAAAATTCTTTTAAAAAATTCTTTGAAAGAGGGGCGCCTGGGTGGCTCAGTCGTTAAGCATCTGCCTTCGGCTCAGGTCATGATCCCAGGCTCCCAGGGTCGAGCCCCACATCGGGCTCCCTGCTTGGCAGGAAGCCTGCTTCTTCCTCTCCCACTCCCTCTCTGTGTCTCTCTCTGTCAAATAAATAAATAAAATCTTTTTAAAAAATTCTTTGAAAGTATTAGATTATGGCCATACCACCCTGAACGCACCCAATCTCATCTAAAACTATCAGAAATGTGCTCTGATTTATTAATAGGGAGCCTCTCCTTTTGGTGAAATGATGAGGCAAATATTTCCACAGTAATACTTATGTACTGACAACTTTACAACCGATCTGATTTAAATATTTTTATACTGGGGGTCTTTGAAGAATAAACCAGATGAGACATTAGTGGTTGGTGACTCTTCAGCTCTGGAATCCTAGCTTTTCTCCAGAATTATCAGCGGAAAGTGGTCACTTCGGTTCCCTATATAAAATGATGTGCATTGTTTTCTGCCAAGAATAAGACATCCTTAAATAGGAAGAAATATCTCTATCCTAGACTTTTACTTGAACTTAGTCTGCTTTCTTCTTTCTGTGGCAGCCGCTTACCCTGCAGCCGCCTGTCACCGCCCCGCTCGCACTAATCTTGTAAGTACGTCCCCGGACAGCACACATCTGGGATTGGTCACCTCTGCCCTTCCTGGTGGGTTCCGCCAGAACACCACTCTGGCTCACCAAGGGCCCCAGGTGTAGTTTTCTCATAAGGAAAGCAAAGTACTTACATGCAGGAAAGAACCAGGTTGAGTGGATGCTTTACTAACAATATTTTTAAAGGCTCCTCTGGCTTTCGTGTTGTTATAATTATCATTTGTTGGTTGGTTGGTTATTCCCTGCTTTATTCCAAAAACGACTTGTGATACCTTACAAAAGGATATGCAGTATGATAAAATTTAAATTTCTTTTTAAAAAGGAAAAAAAGGGGGGGGGGCACCTGGGTGGCTCAGTGGGTTAAAGCCTTTGCATTCAGCTCAGGTCATGATCCCAGGATCCTGGGATCGAGTCCCGCATCGGCTTCTCTGCTCGGCAGGGAGCCTGCTTCCCTTCCTCTTTCTCTGCCTGCCTCTCTGCCTACTTGTGATCTCTGTCAAATAAATAAATAAAATATTTTTAAAAAGGGGGAAAAAAAAAAAGGATGCCTGGGTGGCTCAGTCAGTTAAGCATCTGCCTTTTGGCTCAGGTTATGATCCCAGAGTCCTGGGATTGAGTCCCGCGTCAGGCTCCCTGCTTAATGGGGAGCGTGCTTCTCCCTCTGCCTGCTGCTCCCTTCCTCTGCTTGTTCGTGCTTGCTCTCTCGCTCTCTCTCTGACAAAGTAGAGACTGACTCTGACTGAGTAGAGAGCCTGATGTGGGTAAGGCAGAGGCTTATCCCACTGAGCCACCCAGGTGCCTCAATAAATAAATTCTTTTTAAAAATAAAGAAATAACAAAACAAAAAATAATTAAAAAGGAAAAAAATATCTGCATGGAAGGAAAATAAAAGTAGGAACTGTATAATCTATAAAATTTCACATTCAAGAAATTTCTCGGCCTTTTTGCCTTTGTGTCCTACATAGGAACCTTTCAGTGGTTGTCTAAAGATAGACTTACATTTACTTGACCCACTGCAAAAAACTGTTTCTAGTTGTGTGAAAGAGAACAAGGATGAGGTCAAAAATCCCTGAAGTGAGAATTTTTCTAAGAGATGTTCTACAGAATAGTAACCAATATTGCTTAAAACATTTCCAGAAGGAAAGAAAACAAAGAGTTTTGACCGTAGGACTTCTCTGTCTTTCACCTGGCCAGACCTAACCACTTCCTACCAGTTTCACCACTATCACACCATAGTCTAAACCACCATCATCTCCCAGCCGAACTTGGCATCTGCCTCCTGCTCATCTCTCCCTGCTTCTGTCCACGACCCTTTTCTGTCAGTTCTCACAACAGCAATCAGAGGAGCGATCTTTTACAACACAAGTCAGCTCACGCTGCTGTTCCTCAAAGTCCCCAATTGTCTTCCCATCTCATTCAAGGTAAAGTCCTACTCTTCTCCATTGCCTGACATATGAATGCTCTCCCCAGTCCCATCCCTCATTCCCACCCCCAACCCCAGGATATTTCTGATCTCCCCTACATCCTAGTTCTGCTCATCTAGCCTCCTGCTCTTCTTTAGACAAACCCATCAGGCTGTGACCTCAGGGCCTTTGCACTTCTCACATTCCTGTCTCCAGTATATTGGAAGAGCCTTCTCCCTTTATTTCAACTCTCAGCAAAAATGCTGTCTCATACCTCTGAGTACCCTATCTGAAGCACACTGTTTCCTTTCATCTGTTTACTCTTACTATTTTTCTGCATTTAATACGTAATATAATTTGCCTCCACCTTGAAAATGGAGGCTCCATGAGGGCAAGAACTTGGTTTATTTTGGTCATTGCTATATCCCTAGTTCCCCAAATCATCCTTTGGCATGCGGTAGATGTCTAATTAGTACTTACTGAATGGTTGATAATAAATACACTAATGTAAATTGTGAATCTTTTTTTTTAAAGATTTATTTATTTATTTATTTGACAGAGAGAGAGAGAGAGAGAGAGAGACATAGAGAGGGAACACAAGCAGGGGGAGTGGGAGAGGGAGAAGCAGGCTCCCCGCTGAGCAGGGAGCCCAATGCAGGGATCCCAGGACCCTGGGATCATGACCTGACCTGAAGGCAGAGGCTTAATGCACTGAGCCACTCAGGCGCCCCTAAATTGTGAATCTTAAAGAGGGTAATATTGGATGCCACTTTTTCAAAACTGTTTGAGCACTGGACCTTTTTGAGAAAAATACCCAGTATTACCTCATGGGACATGGGAATGCCAGAATAATTTTGTAAACTCTGCCTTAATTTTCACTTGGTAGAATCAGATTCAGCCTTTTCTTTTATGTACCTTTCAGTCCAAGATCCTGTGTCTTCCCATCAGCCCATTTCCTTCAGCACTCCCCACAGTCACACGGCGGGTCATGGCAGTGACCTCAATGCCTACCAGCCAGCCTTTCCCTGGCACGCTGGAGCTCACCAGACCGGAGCTTGAAACACAGTCCGGGCAAGCTGTGGTCGAGGTGACCTCAAGCCGCAGAGAGGACTCCCAGGCAGAGGTCTTTACCACTAACCTACAGATGTCACTTCAGGACGCATCTGATCAGGTAAGTACAGAAAACAAGAGGTCACCCTGGGGACATTTGTGACACTGCGAAAGTACTTCTATTCTTTCCTTCGATTTTGGTGATGCTTCCAGCATAGCTGTGTGAGGAAGGGGCCCAGTTCGCTCTCTACCTCTGAGCAGAACCGTACCTCAGAGGACCTGACGGACCAGCGTTTGCCCCAGTGAGAAGCAAGCAGTGAGCGAGTCTCTGGCAATAGTCCACAGTGGATTCCATATCCCCCCTCGGGATTTTAATGTCTTATTTTTATTTAATGCTCTTTAATTTAGTACTTCAGATGGGGAGGAAGTTTTGTCTACCTGCCCCAATTTTCTGGCACTGGCAAATACTTCTGGACTGTTCTTCCTACTCACCATCCCTGCTCTCCTTTCTCCTTTGTTCCCTTTTCCCCCACAAACTTCAAAAAAAGCAAAGCTACTTTGATCATGTTGACTGCAGAAAATCATCCTGCCTCTCCTTCCCTATCATTTTTTTTAAAGATTTTTAATTTATTTATTTGACAGACAGAGATCACAAGTAGGCAGAGAAGCAGGCAGAGAGAGAGGGAAGCAGGTTCCCTGTTGAGCAGAGAGCCCGATGCAGGGCTCGATCCCAGGACTCTGGGATCATGACCTGAGCCGAAGGCAGAGGCTTTAACCCACTGAGCCACCCAGGCGCCCCCCTATCATTTTTTTTTTAACACACGCCTTACTTACATGCCGTCTAACATTTTCTTGCTCAAAGATAATCCTGCTTATGCTGGATCTGCTTCCAGTGGGAATTGGAACTAGATGTTCATTATTGTTTCAGTTAGTACTATGTCTCCTGGCAGAAAAACTCAACCCAGTAGCTTACACACAGAGTGCTTTGTTTCCTTAAACAGAGAGAAGTCTGAAGTATAGAACACCCAAAAAGGCCTACAAATAAATTATGAGGAAAATTAAGAGAATTTATCAGTGTTGCTGAATACCAGATCAATATCAATAAAGCTAATTGTACTTTTAAATAGCAGCAGCAATCGGTTAGAAAATTAGATTTAAAAAAAAAAAACTAAAATAGCAGGGGCTCCTGGGTGGCTCAGTCACTTAAGCCTCTGATTCTTTTTTTTTGTTTTGTTTTGTTTTGTTTTTAAGCCTCTGATTCTTGATTTTGGCTCAGTCATGATCTTAGGGTCCTGAGATGGAGCCCCGTATAGTTGGGCTTCACACTCGGGCGGCAGGGGAAGCCACTTTGGAATTCCCCCCTCTCCCCTGCCCCTCCTCTGCTCCTTACATAGGGTTGCTCTCTTATAAAATAAAATTAAATAAGTTAATTAAATAAATAAATAAATAAATAAATAAAATTAAATAGAAAGTACCTAGGAGTAAATCTATCCAAAGATGGGCAAAACCTCTATGGAGACAACTATAGAGCTTTATTAAGAGCCATTAAAGAAAGGCGAAGTGATGGGGCGCCTGGGTGGCTCAGCGGGTTGGGCCGCTGCCTTCGGCTCAGGTCGTGATCTCAGGGTTCTGGGATCGAGCCCCGCATCGAGCCCCGCATCGGGCTCTCTGCTCGGCGGGGAGCCTGCTTCCTCCTCTCTCTCTGCCTGCCTCTCTGCCTGCTTGTGATCTCTGTCTGTCAAATAAATAAATAAAATCTTTAAAAAAAAAAAAAAAGAAAGAAAGAAAGAAAGGCGAAGTGAATGGTGAGATCTACCATGCTTCAGCCCAGCTCTGCAACATCGCATAAACCGTCCTCAGTGTCCTTCCTGGCGGTAGGTAGAATGGCATTAAATACGACCTGACCTCCCCTGGAAAGCAGGCAGTTTCATGGCCTCTGGGTCTCACTCATACTTTTATTCCCGCTTTTTTACACCTTGGTCCCCAAGTATGGAACCGCAACTGGGTGGTCCTCAATTCTAAGATCACTCTGTAATTGATCTAACTTCCTGCAAACCCTGTGAATTACAAATAACCCTATTCAACTGTATGGCTTACAAGGGCTGTATCATGGCTGACTTTAAGGACTCTAACTCCTGAGCCCAGCTGCACAGAGTAGGCATTTAATAAAGATTTACTGAACATTGGCTGAACCAAGCTGCAGTGGGCTGTTCTCTAGAAATGGCAGCAAGTAGCTGGTATAAACAGAGATTATCTCAGGGTGGGACTTCTGGTTCAAAAGCAGTAGACTCTTAAAGAGTGGTTATTGTATGACCTTGGTATCTATTCCTCTATGAGAGAGGTAAAAATTCTATCCATTTGCAGAAAAGCTTCTGAAAGGAGTAACTGTTACAGGGAGCCTGTGATTCATGGAGTTTGTCATGTTAACTCTTTTTTTTTTTTTAAGATTTTTTATTTACTTATTTGACAGAGAGAGATCACAAGTAGGCATAGAGGCAGGCAGAGAGAGAGGAGGAAGCAGGCTCCCTGCCGAGCAGAGAGCCGGATGCGGGGCTCGATCCCAGGACCCTGGGATCATGACCTGAGCTGAAGGCATAGGCTTTAACCCACTGAGCCACCCAGGCGCCCCTGTCATGTTAACTCTTGTTAAAACAATGTCTCAAACTACTAACGTGCGGTCATTTTCTATAAATAATTCTGGCAAAATCCTTCATCCCCAACAGGTCATAAACAAGAAAGCAGGGAACATGAGCAAAGTGATTTATGGTTTACAAACTCACAACAAACTACAGACAGCTTGTGAAATGCTCCAGAAACTGACAGCCTTTATCCCAGGAATTTCTAAGTCAGCTCAGGTAAGCATAGGGTGATGGGGAGGAAACGAGATAGGAGAAAGGGGGAAGCAAAACAGAGACAAAGTATATAAAACAGAAAATACAAAATCTGGAGATGGTGCCCTGTGCAGAATTTTGCCCTATGAACTATTTCTTAGAGACTCGATATATTTAGCCAGAGTATTTATACCTTTAACTCTGAAGATGGCGAATAAATAAGTCAGTAGTGACCTTCTCAGGTATGCTGTGTTTCTTTTGTTCATTTATCAGGTTACTGCCTTTCTGATACATTTGTTAGACATCACAGGGGACAGAAACAGATCCACTCCTTGGCCGAGATAGAGCAGTTTAGCTCTGAAACAGACAATCGGCCTTCAGTGCACTGTGATATTTGCATCTGTGGCTGCCACAGTTATTCTCAGGAATTATTCGTGCCTGGCTCTGCTCCCTACACATAAGTAAACTAAGGGACTAGGATCTGTGAGCATTTTCATTTTTTCTTTTCCATGCCTTTTATTTTCAGATATTCTGCAATAAACCTATAAATGTAATCTGTGTTTATTTGGGCTTCTTCTTTTTCTCTTTCTTTCTTTCTTTCTTTTTTTTTTTTTTTTTTTGAGAGAAACAGAGAATATGTGTGTGGGCCAGGGGCTGGGGGGTCAGAGGGAGGGAGAGAGAGAGAACCTTAATCAGCCTCCATGCCCAGTGCAGAGCCCTGACATGGGAGCTCATTCTTAGGAATCTGCGACTGTGACCTGCGCCAAAATCGAGTCAGGCACTTAACCGACTGAGCCACCCAGGTACCCCTATTTGGGCTTCTTAATTATGGTAATAACGCATGCTTGTTATTAAAAAATCTGAAAAGCATATAGAGTTATAAAGCCAAAGCCCTCACCGTCTTTGTCCCTCTTGCTAATCCCATTCTCTAAATGTAGTCACTGTTACCAGATTATTACTAATTTGTCACGCATAGCCTGCCAGACTTTTTTCTATTCATGGACAAGTTTATCATTTTAACAACAATGAGGTTAAAGTATACAAATGTTTCGGCCTCTTGATTTTTTTTTTTTTTTTTTTTTTTACTTAATGCTGTGTCATGGATATCTTTGTGTCATACACTTAAATGAACCAGTCATTCTTCATGTGCATTTGTACATTTTTCATTTGTCCACCCTCAGAAACAGCATACTACCCATGAACATTCTTGTCCTTACATCACCAATTACTTATGCAGATGTTTCTGGGGAATAGAGTGCCAGAGATAGAAGCAGGGTCTTTTGCATTTTCAGTAGATGACAGAATTGTCTCAAAAGGCACTGTTCTGGGGCACCTGAGTGGCTTAGTTCGTTGGGCGTCTAACTCTTGATTTTGGCTCAGGTCATGATCTTGGGGTCATGGGATTGAGTCCTGCTGAGCATGGAGCCTGCTTGGGATTCTCTCTCTCCCTCCGCGCCCCCTACCCCACGTGCCCTCTCTCTCAAATAAATAAATAGGCACTGTTTTACATCCCTACCCACCATTGCCCATGCTCTCCCAATTTCAAAGGCAAGAAAAGAAAGAAAAGGAGGAGGGAACATTTTATTGATTACTGAGGACATTGAACATCATCATATGTATTGATTGACATTATGTCAATCAGTCACCTCTCAGTTGTTTCTTTGTGTCCTTTGTCCATTTTCCCTCCAATGGGTTGTTTGTCATTTTTTGTTGTGTGTTGGTAAGAGAGCTTTATTTACTATTGGTGTTGACCTTTTGTTATTTGTGTTGCAAATATTTTGTGCCCAGGTCTTATTTTTCATTTTGTCTTTTGGATCTTTTTTTTTAATGCAGAAGTTCTTAATAAATGTTACTTTGAGAACAAAAACATTTCAAAACCAAAACAGTCATAGCTACAGTGGATAGTCTGTCAATCTGCTTATCCTCTTACTTGTTTTGCGTGAGAACAACCTACCAAAAGGAGAATTGGGGTTTTCTGGTTCATTTAGAATTTTTCCTACTTTCTATGGTAAGTCAGTCTCGAAGGCTTTTGAGGCCCGAGTTTCAAGGGATAGTCTCCTCAGTGTTCCAGCCAGTACTGCCCTTTCCCTTTTTTTAGCTTAGTTTTGTGAATTAGCTGTTTGATCTACTTACCACTCCAGGAGGGTTCCGTCAGTTCCTTAGAATAACATGAAGTACGAATCCTCCCTATAGGTAATATGTATTTTCTTCTCCTGCCAGGTTGTAATAGTGCTTTTTTATAAAAATGTGTTTGAAATGCATAAAGAACATCGAACTCCTGATGAGAAGAGCATAAATAAATTCAAAACAGACAGAAACAGCTCAGGTGTGTGTGTTTGCTTCCTTAAACTCCCAGGTCAGTGTCCTCAGTCCACTTGGTGACCCGAATGGGCAGTTACCTGGGAGCGCATATGAGAGCAACAGCAGTCTGGGCTTCGAAAACCCCATGACTGTCTGCCTCATTCACTCCCTTGACGATGTCGTGGAAGCTGGTGAAGCCAGTCTGCAAAGATCCAAGCATGACATTGAGCAGGTAGGTGCAGGAGATGCTCATGTTGATCTCATTTTAGAAACTTTTTAATCGTCAGGGTGCCTGGGTGGCTCAGGAGTTTAAGCCTCTGCCTTCAGTTCAGGTCATGATCTCAGGGTCCTGGGATCGAGCTGCACATCAGGCTCTCTGCTCTGTGGGGAGCCTGCTTCCTCCTCTCTCTCTGCCTGCCTCTCTGCCTACTTGTGATCTCTGTCAAATAAATTTTAAAAATCTTAAAAAATAAAAGAAACTTTTTAATCATGAGGCCCCTGTGTGGCATAGTCGGTTAAGTGTCCAACTTTTGATTTTGGCTCAGGTCATGATCTCAGGGTCGTGAGATTGAGCCCAGCGTCGGGCTCTGTGCCCGGTGCAGAGTCTGCCTGAGATTCTTTCTCCCTCTGCTCCTCTCTCTCACTCCCTCTCTTTAAAAAAGGTCCAGGGCAGCTTATATCACAGGACGAAGAAATATGTCTTTGGGTGGCCCTCTTAGTTGATACAAAGGATGTTGTCTTTAGCCTGACTGGAAGTACTTTCTATGGGTCTTTTCCAAGAATGTCACCTTTCCTTATGTCACCATCAAGATCTTTGTTCCCTGTCCAGCCCCTCCAAAACCATTATCCACTGAGGTTACTCAGGTCACATAGTGATTTCTTCTAAATGCAGGTAGAAAATATGCTGGAAATGGCCTTGCTGGCCCTTGGAAAGATCCAAGAAGTATTTTTACAGCAGAACCGGGTTTCTGAGTCTTTAGTGACTATGACCTCTTCCTTTGCTACTCTGATGCTGAGCAGGTAACAGAGGAGGAAGGGGGAGAGTTTCCTTTTAGGTTTTTGTTCCTTAGAAAACACACAGAAATTTATTTCGCTTTAATTTCTCCTTCCTTAGCCAAAACATGTCAACCTGGCCTCTGAGCTCCTACAGTCTCTGGTCCCCAGCACCTGTGAGGTTAGTCTTTCCATCAACCTCAGCTTTGCAAGAGCTCTTGAACAGACACCCGGGAGTTAATGTCCAAGTGAGTGTGAAATTGATTCTGATCCGATCAGAAATGGGATTGAGGCTGCAGGCATTGAATGCCCCATGAAGGGTGTGCACCGGGAAATGTAAGCTCACCAGACCAAACAAAAGAAGGCTGGGTGCCCTGGATCTCTGTTTCACAGTGGTAGGAATGGAGGCCTCTTTTTTTTTTTTTTTTTTTAAGATTTTATTTTTTACTTTTGAGAGAGAGAGAGCACACAAGCTGAGGGAAGGGGTGGAGGGAGACACAGACTCCCTGCCAAACAGTGGGCCCGATGCAGGACTCAGTCCCAGGACTCTGGGATCAGGATGTGAGCTGAAGGCAGACGCTTAACTAACTGAGACACCTGGGGGCACAGGAATGGAGGCCTCTTAAAAATGATCCACGGTAGAAGTTGGGAGCATTAAACAGACTTTGGGATTTGACAGTTTCTGGGTTAGGGTTTGAATGGATGCATATACAGGGCGCCTGGGTGGCTCAGTGGGTTAAGCCTCTGCCTTGGGCTCAGGTCATGCTCTCAGGGTCCTGGGATTGAGTCCCACATTGGGCTCTGTGCTTGGCAGGGAGTCTTCTTCCTCCTTTCTCTCTGCCTGACTCTCTGCCTGCTTGTGATCTCTTTCTGTCAAATAAATAAAATCTTAAAAAAAAAAAAAAGTTTGAATTGGTGCATATACAAAGCTGGGAATACCTGGGTAAGTGTGGACTCAGTATATCAGCTTAGCCGCATCAGTACATTGTATTTCTTTCAGCGCTTACCTGACAAATAGAAGTAAGATTGGTGCCTTATCCGGGAGAGCAGAATACTTACTTCCTAGTAATCATGAATCCTCCAGGTATAAAGGTGTAAAAAAGTAATAATAATTCTGAGGGTCCCAAGTAAATGACTCATCTTCAATTAATTCTTCCCATATGGTGTTCTAATGAGAAATATTTCACTTAAGATATTAGCAAAGGGAAAAAATCCCATCATTTACTTTAATTATGGATACCTGACACCTTATTACCTATAGGGGTGTTATTTCTAAAGATTTTCTGAAGATTTCAGCAATGGATGAAACCGAGTTCTCTTGTCTCTAGGTAACAGGACTAGCTTTCAATCCCTTCAGGGATTTTGATGACAAGAACATTGTTGGAAGCATCGGAAGTGTGTTGCTAAGCTCTAATCATAAATTGTTCCAAGTCGATGACTTAATGGAAGATATCGAGGTATGACATGATTATTAGGGAATGAAACAGAAGGGAATAGGAATTCTTGGAGAACAGGATGGAAGAAAGTCATTTGAGATTCGCGGCAGTCCCATTGTTTGATTATTCCCATCTCCACTGGGGAGCTTCTACAAGGAGGTTACTTTTCCATTAGGAGAAGGTGTTTTGGTCTGAGATTGTTCTTGTCCCTTCACGCCTGGCTCTTTGTTACCTATTAATACTCAGGGAGGAAGACTTAGGAAGTCACATTCCATTTTCGCTAGAAAGGAGACTGAAAGACGTCAGTGGATGGACCATCATGAACTTGAAGATTGATTTACTGTCTCCTTCTAGATCATGCTGTGGAGAAATGTTAGCATGGAAAGCCATCACACCAGCGTCAACGTGAGCTCAGATCATTTTATTATTGTAGTGAACATCACTTCCCTGGAGAAATCCCTGATTGTATGCATAGAACCTGAAAGTCGCCTTTTAATGACACTCTACCTGGGGTTCCAGTATCAGCCGAACCACACCCACTTTGACCTGAACATCACCCTTCCAAAGACTCAGGTGTGGCAAAAAGGTAAAGCCCCAATCAGAAACTTACTTTTTCTTTTTTTAAAGATTTTATTTATTTATTTGACAGAGATCACAAGTAGGCAGAGAGAGAGAGAGGAAGGGAAGCAGGCTCCCTGCTGAGCAGAGAGCCCGATGCGGGGCTAAGTCCCAGGACCCTGGGATCATGACCTTAGCCGAAGGCAGAGGCTTAACCCACTGAGCCACCCAGGCGCCCCAGAAACTTACTTTGAAATCTTTGAAATGCATTTTCTTCTTCTTTTTTTTTTTTTTCCTTTTTATTTTGAGGTAACTGTGGGTTCTCATGCAATTGTGAAAAATTAAACAGATCTGTATCTCACCCAGTTTTTCCTATTGGTGACGTCCTACTTAACTACAGCACAATATCCGCGCCAGGAAATGACACTGGTACAATGCATTGACCTCATTGGGATTCACCAGTGTTACACGCACTCGTGTATGTGTGTTTATTAGTTCTATGGAATTGCATCACGTGTGTAAATATACATGACCATGAAATGCATTTTTTAAAAAGATGGATTGTGGAATGGATCGAGATCTATAGGTGATAAAGCAAATTTAGTAATTTTTTTTTAAGTTTTACTTATTTAAGCAATCTTCACACCCCATGTGGGGCTCAAACTCTTGACCCCAAGATCAAGAGTCACATGGTCTTCTGACTGAGCCAGCCAGGTGCCCCAAATTCAGTAAAATGTTAATTATAGAATTTGTTCGGGGATTATTTGGGTGTTCACTGTGTAATAGTCCACTTTCTGCATGGTTGAAAATTTCCATAATGTTGAGAATAAAATCCCAGCACAGTGGGTTATGTCTATATTTCAACCTTTATTTCTAATCTTAGGTTTGGGTAAGGACAGAGATGTCTCAGTAGGTCTTGGTGTAATACCAGACAGACTACTTTGTGGCTTAGAATAGTTAAGAATTTCTGCAATACATAAATAGGGCCTGGATATACTCGACCGAGAAACATAGTCACCAGATATCAACTTTAATACTGGGGAGTCGGGATGGGGTAACGGGGAGATGGGCACAAAGGAGGGCACGTAATGTGATGAGCACTGGGTGTTATTTAAAACTGATGCATCACTGAACTCTACCCCTGAAACTTGCAATACACTATATGTTAATTTAAAGAAAAAATTATTCTAAAGCTATAGGGAAGTCTTAAGAGCTAAGCCTTCGCATTTAAAAAACAATGGGATGGGGGGAGTCATTGGAATGGATAAAGCATGTCGTAGTCTCCTTCTGTTACGGTCTGCCGGTGCTGAGTGAGCTGCCCCTGGCTCTCGTGTCGGCCTCACTGACACAGAGCTCACTGCTGCAAGGCTCTGTCTGCGCTACCAGTGGGCTCTCTCCCCATTCGGAGCACGCGCTCCCATCTTCCGTGCCTGTCTTGACAGTATCATATTTGGAACTGGAGGGGATCTTAGACAACCTCTGGTCCAGAGTCCTTGTCTGAAAAGTGAGAAAGCTAGGGATATTGTGGGACTCGCCATAGCCCTTCCCAGCCACCTGGTGACAGAGCCAGACCTGGAATCAGGGCTCTTTCCTGCAATCAGTCTGGCTCTTTCCATCATTGCTTCGTTTGGGGGCTTCTTTTGCTTGCTAGGTCTTATAGCTACTCGTTGTGATGGATGACGATTTCATTTTTCTAAAATTCATAAAATCCTGACCCGTTAGACCTAAATCTTCATTCGTCAAAAAAAAAAAATACAGTTTCTTATTGGAACAGGAGTGATGCAGAGCCCCAGGTTGTATCACCAGTCATTATCTGGAAAATCATTTGTGGGGCGCCTGCGTGGTACAGTCAGGTAAGCGTCCGACCCTTGGTTTTGGCTCCGATCATGAGGTCAGGGTCATGGGATCCAGCTGTGCTCAGCACAGATTCTTCCTGAGAATCTCTCTCCCTCTCCCTCTGCTCCTCCTGCTCATAGTGCACTTGTGCACACGCTCTCTCTCTCTCAAATGTTAAGAAAACAAAATCATTTGTTAATTCCAGGCTTAATCATTTCCCTATTTGTAAAATAATGATAATAATACATCCTTCATAAGGAAGGTTCTCATGGTACTTTTGTCCCATTTAAAAGGCAACTAAGCACCGTTCTTGGTTCTCAGCTGAGGAATATACATGGGTGCTGAGCCCAGAGAGCCTGCGGCACGGGACTGGCACCTACCACGTGATGGCCACATGGAATGAAAGCAAGGAGAGCGCCCAGCAGACGCCCGCCTGGTTCTCGGTGGTGACGGCCGTCACGCAGTGTTATTTCTGGGACAGCCACAACAGCATGTGGAAGAGCCGTGGATGCCACGTAAGAAGCCACGCCACTTGCTCTTTCTCTACCGCCTGCGCAGGCATGAAATGCAGAGCATCTCCTACCTTGTTTGGCAGGGAGGGAACCTAGAAAGAAAAATCAGCAGAAGGGAAATAAGTCAGCCTGGGAAAAACGGAGAAGGAATGTGTGTAGCGGGCCAGGACAGTGTGCCTCTTTGGAGCTGGCTTGTGCCCCATATGTGTAATTCCTTTCCTAAACTCAGTCCAGGGTGAATCTGACAGTTTTAGATATAGTAATATGCAGGAGTTCTACAAATATTAAATATGTGGTGGGTAAAAGGAAAACTTCTTGCTTAATAAAAGAGAACTTTTAGGGGTGCCTGGGTGGCTCAGTTGTTAAGTGTCTGCCTTCAGCTCAGGTCATGATCCTAGGGTTCTGGGGTCGAGCCCCATATCCGGCTCCCTGCTCAGCGGGGGGGCTTCTTTCTCTCTCACTCCTGCTTCCCCTGCTTTTATTCTTTTTCTCTGGCAAATAAAATCTTCAAAAAATAAAAATTAAAAAAAGAGAACTTTTATAAAAATAAGCTAGCTGAGGAATCTGGGTGGCTCAGTCAGTTAAGCATCTGCCTTCAGCTCAGGTCATGATCCTGGGGTCCTGGGATCGAGCCCTACATCGGGCTCTCTGCTCAGCGGGAACCTGCTTCCCCCTCTCTCTCTGACTGCCTCTCTGCCTACTTGTGATCTCTGTCTGTCAAATGAATAAATAAAATCTTTTTTAAAAAATCTTTTAAAAAAAATGGCACTCTGCATTTTCATGCTGGTGAATTTGTGCGATCCCGTCTGATTTAAGTCCTGGTTCAATTGCACAAAGACTGTGGTGCAAGGTTCTGGAAATCATGAGGCTGTTCGTAAAAGAGCTGAGAGGGGTCATTCACATGGGAATAGAGGGAAAGAGGATGCTCTGGAAGGCACTGACACCATTCATGGCCTCAGCAGAGATTTCTGGAAGATCTGGAACAAAGCCTTTCTAGCAAATCCTCTACCTGGGAGCCTGTTCAATGGCAGATTCTGTTGTAGTAAAGGAGGGTGGGACCTGAGCTTCTGCTTTTCTAACAGGCTCCCAGGTGATGTCAGTGCTCCGAGTTGCGGAGACGGCACTTTGAATAGCAAGACTCACCCAGCAGTGACCCCACTACTCACAAAAAGCACCAGGGGGTTTCCTGCCTCCTTGAAGGCCTATACAGCGTTTGGACCCCCATGCAAGGAACAGAGCTGCCGGAGTCCTCCCAGGCCAAGAGATAGACCCGGCACCCAGAGCTTGACCTTGTGGCATGGAAAACAGTCAGTCATACTGACACACGAGTGTTGCTGGGCATGCTTTGGGTCTCTGTGTAAATGGTACCATTTGTACCATTCTTCTTTAACTTTTTTTTTTTTTAAGATTTTATTTATTTGACACGGAGAGAGAGCACAAGCAAGAGGAGTGGGAGAGGGAGAAGCAGACTCCCTGCTGAGCAGAGAGACTGATGCGGGGCTCAATTCCAGGACCCTGGGATCATGACCTGAGCCAAAGGCAGACGCTTAACCGACTGAGCCACTCAGGTGTCCCCTTTAACTTGTATTTTTCACTCAGCATTTATGCACAATGCTATTATCTGGCTCTGACTCATTCATTTTAACTGCTAGAGAATATTCCATCAGTAGAGAGTAGTAGCCCTCTATTTCTTTGTATGTTCTGCTGTTACTGGACATACACAGGTCGTTTCCGATTCTTTGGTTATGAACAGCAACGACGGAAACATTCTTTCTCACGTCTCCTTGTGCGCATGTGCAGACTTCCCCTGGGGTCTGTGTTCACCCCTGGAATGGCCGGAGGCCGAGGCTGCCAGATCGCTCTACATGCTGCTTCCCCCGGCCTCCGTGACCACCAGCGGTGAATATGCAGCCCGGACAGTTTTCCCTCTCAGAACTGCCTATGTTTGTGTTTTATGATTATCCCTTCCTTAGCACTCTGTTCAGTTAGAATCAGCGTCTTGATTCTAATTACAGGTTGGGCCACAGAGCATGGTTTTGAGGACGCAGTGTCTCTGTAACCGCCTGGCCTACTTCGGCAGCAACTTCTTCATTGTGCCTCGGACCGTGAACATTAAGGACACGATCAAGCTGTTCCTTCACGTGACCAACAACCCTGTTGGGGTGTCTTTGCTGGCCAGCCTTTTAGGATTCTATATACTCACGTGTGTGTGGGCTTGGAGAAAGGATCAAGCAGACATGCAGAAGGTGAGACATTGATTCTAGAAGCTTTGCCACAGTGTCTTGAGTGTGTTGAACAAGATGGAAAAAACCCTTGACCAGAAGAGGCTGGTAGCGTGGTACTATGTGGCGTAGAAATTCAGGGGGGACTTTTCCCTCATGTCTCCTGTCTGCTTAGCAACTTAATGCTCTATCTTTTTTTTTTTTTTTTTCTTTTCCTTTAGTGGAAGTTGAACCCTCCTGTGTTTTGTTTAGGTTAGGAATCACACAGAACATCTAGAGAACTTAACCAAAATCGAATGCAAGTTTGTCTCACTTTATACATTGGATATAAAATTATGTGGAAGTGAAATGATAATTTCATGTAACTGTGATAGATAAGAAACCTGTAAGGAATCTCTTTTTTGAACAACAACAAAAAATCCCTTGATGGCATCCTCTTTTTTTTTAAGGATTTATTTATTTATTTTAGAAAGAGCAAGTGCAGCAGCACGGCTGAGAGAGACTAGCCAGGTGCGGGTGAGCCTGGCATGGGGTGTTGGTGGCGCGCAATCCTTTCACTGTATCGCACCCTCCTTCCTTTCAGGGTCAGAAACAGGGTCCTGAGGTGCCTTTGTTTTCGCTTTGCTTTGAATGCTCTAACAGACTTCCACCCTGTTCCCGTTCATGAATGAGTGAAGCAGCCTTGGGAACGGCACGTCAGTCTTAGCCTTAGATGTCCTGTCCCTAGATAATGTCCGTGAGGATGTCCTGTCTTTGGATAATCATGGCTGACTTGCCAAACAGATGCCTAAAGCTGGGAGGGCAATGACTGAGATGACTTCAGCTCTTGAGGATGAAGGCGGCTGTCATGTTCTTCTTCCAGTGGGTCCGTTTCCTGTGACCTGGTCCCAGCTGCTCACCAGCGTCCAAACTGCTGTCCTCCTCTTCCCCGTCAATCTTGTAATTGGGCGCCTCTTCCCGCTGATCCAGCCACACGAACCCCTGCCTCCCTTTCCTCCCAGACAAGCCTCCTGCCTCCCAGAGGCTCCTTTTGAGCCTCTGTCTCTCACAGAGGTGGCTGAGGTAAGCCTGCCACCTAATTTTATAAGTAGATGGCAGGCCCTGCTTCTACGTGTAGCAAGAATGGTCAGTGGAGAGGATCTCCTAGAAGGCTTGTGGGTCCCATTAACCTTGACAGCTTTTCCCTAAGTCCTGTGCCCTGGCCATGATGCTCATGCCCCTCGTCTCTCCTCTTGATATATTCTGAGGACTGGATGTGAGTCCAGAAGGTACTACTCTCCAGTTTTCGTTGGTGATGTTTGATCCAGCTGTCCCCTCTTTCTTTCTGTAATCCCTCATAAAACTAGTTTTGAAGCTACTGGGAGGAGACTTCTTTCTGAGAAAGGAGAAAGAAAATGAAAAATAGAGGTTCTTCCCACTGAGCATTCACTCTCAGAGTAAAGAGATGACCCTGCCACGTATAACTGCTGTCAGTCCCGGGCGAATGTCAGACTTTTTCTCATCTTGGCTCCACATTCAGGAATTGAAGGAAACGGTGGGATTCCTGCTCAGGAGAAACACCTACCAACTCCCGGAGTGGGAACAATCTTTATGGGCGTCTCACAGCATTAACAAGATGGCACAGCTTTTAGCCAGCCTCGTCTCTTCTCACTTGGAGGGTCCCGGCTCTCCTCAGCGGGCAGGACCCCATCCGGCAAATGGTAAAGCTCCGCAGGTGTTGGTAACTGACGTGTTCTCTGCCTCTCACTTCCTCCTCCCTCTCGGCATAACCAACAGGCACCGTAGAACCTTCTGCTTCCGTTTCCTTAAACTTCCAGTAGAGCTGATCGCTTTCGAGACAGTATATCTGGTGATACAAAGTAAAGGATGAAGGAAAAACCCACAGAAATGCCCTCTGTTTCAGACCCCCTCACACTCCATCTGCTTTGCTAGGAGCTCTTGAGACTTGTCATTCTTTTTCTTCTATGGAACAGGCAGATTAGGGGATTTATGGAATCTTGAATATAGTTTACCTCCCACTGGGCACTTAACACCATTCTGGTGAAGAAAGCCCAATTCGGTTTCAATTTGAATTTGCTTCTAGATCAAAAGTTGTGTTTTCTTTTTTATTCTGGATCCAAGTGTAGAATTTTAGAAATTGTTATTAGCAAGTCACCAACATGCTCAGAGAAGACAGTCGTTAATTGCTGGGTCCAGTCTCCATGGTCTGGGAAATGGAACGCCCTCACCTGTGAATGACTTGCTCCTCTCTGCCACTAGTGCCTGTCCCTTGACATGTCAGCCCGGCCTGTATTTGCAGTGGTTCCTGAAAGCCACCATCGTCTGTCCCGTTACCTGCTCGGAGTTCTGCAGCGGCTGCAGTCGCATTTACGCGCCCTGGGTCCCCCCCCAGGCCGACCGGCCTCGTGACGTCCTCTATGCCACCGACCGACTGCAAAAACTCAAGGAGCTCTCGGAAACACGTATTCTTCCCACAGAGCAGGGGCCCTCCAGGTAAGGCCCCAAACCAGGCTTCCCGCATCAGCCATAATCTTCCTGCATCTCTCTCTCAGCTGTTGCCTTTCAGCTGATTCCTTCCACCTCTGTTCTTAAGGGAGGCCACCAGTTTCCCCATCCTGAGCCCAGAAGAAGGGAGGAAGCCCATGGCTCACGGCCTGCGCCGAGGGTTGACTTACCTCTGCTGGCTCTTCCTGGGCGTCGCTAGCCCGGCTGCAGCCTTTTTTACTGCACTTTATAGCTTGGAACTGACCAGAGAGCAGGCCACCAGCTGGGGCATGTCAGTGATGTTATCCGTGCTTCACAACCTCGTCATCAGCCAGCACGTCAAGGTACGTGAAAACGGGGCGTCCCAGCATGGGGGGGTGGGGAGGGACCCACTCGCGCTGCAGGCTGCTCACTTGGGAAGATGACACCCTTGGGTGTCAATTCAAAGTGCCTAACGGTTCTGACAATTTGACCCAAAAAAGAGAAAACAGCAAAAATAGGCAGAATGAAATTTCAGGCATGTGTGAAGTCACAGAAAGAACTGGTGAGAACTGATAGACTGGTAGAAGCAGAGTGGAAAAGGATTGCCAAGAGAGGACAAGTGAAAAAAAAATCAACAAACTACTTAGAAAAAAAAAAACACCAGGAAACTTAACTTTTTATAAAACTTTTTAAAAAGATTTTATTTATTTATGAGAGAACACGAGCAGGGGGAGCTGGAGAGGGAGAAGCAGACTACTCGTTGAGCAGGAAGCCCAATGTGGGGCTCGATCCCAGGACCCTGGGATCATGACCCGAGCAGAAGGCAGAGACTTTAACCCACTGAGCCACCCAGGCGCCCCATCACTTTCATTTTAGAGTCAATGTTCCATTTCTCCTAGTTGTTTTGTAAATGTCTATTTTATGGTTACTTTGTTCAAATCAAGATTCAGATAAGGTCCATGTGTTGCCAATAGTTGGTCTGTGTCAGAGACACTTTGTTTACTAAGTCTGCAGGCACCCGCTCTCTTCACACCACTCTCCGTTCTTAGTATTTCTCACAGGGCATTTGCTGGAAAAACAAACAAACAAACAAACACGAATTTTGCCCAGTAGAGTTTTCAGCATGGCCGGTGACGGGATTGCTTCTGCTTTAAGAACCCTGGAGGGTGGGCCCGCGCTCCCACAGGCAAACCTGGGGAGCTCTTGAAACTGCAGGCTCAGGCCTCACTCTGGACCAATTAAATAGTAATCTCTGGAGATGGATTCCAAGGCCCAACGGGGTTTAAAATTTCCCTGGTGATTCTGGTGTACGGTCCCATTTGAGACCCACCCATTCCGGGGAGAGCAAGGAGTAGGTAGATCTTAATGGAAAACTGCTGGAAGATGGGCACCTGGCTGCCTGAGTCAGTGGAGGAGCATGTGACCCGATCTCATGGTTCTGAGATTTTTTTTTTTTCAAATCTTAAAAAACAAACAAAAACTCCTGGGGGAGACCAAAAATAACAAGATCTCCATCAGGAGATTCAGTTGAATGAAACACAAAGGGTTTCGGGAAATGAAAAAGGTCACTTACCAAATACTCAAATTCTAGTAGTTGAGTTGAAGGAGATGTCACTAATGAAACTCGGATTAATGACCAGGAAAATCAAATGAACCAAAATAATGCAAAATATGAAATACATATATCAAAATACTGAAAGAGAAGAGACTCGGGAGATCCAGGGTACTGGGCATGCAGGTCATTGGAGTGGTGATAATTAAACCATCCACTGTGGCAAAGAAATACTGACTTTATGTTAGAGGCCTCAGCTGGTTTCAGGCACAGTCAGTTTTAAAAGACATGCTGAGGGGGCACCTGGGTGGCTCAGTGGGTTAAACCTCAGCCTTCGGCTCAGGTCATGATCTCAGGGTCCTGGGATTGAGTCCCGCATCTGGCTCTCTGCTCAGCAGGGAGCCTGCTTCCCCCTCTCTCTCTGCCTGCCTCTCTGCCTGCTTGTGATTTCTCTCTCTCTGTCAAATGAATCAATAAAATATTTTTAAAAAATAAATAAGTAAAAGACATGCTGAGGGGCGCCTGGGTGGCTCAGTGGGTTAAAGCCTCTGCCTTCGGCTCAGGTCATGATCCCAGGGTCCTGGGATCGAGCGCTGAAATGGCGGATAGTTCTGCAATGGGGCTTACGATCCCCGCCCCACTGCCTGCCTCTCTGCCTACTTGTGATCTCTTTCTCTCTGTCAGGTAAATGAATAGAATCTTTAAAAAAAATTAATAAAAAATTTATGATGGAAGAGTGTTCTAGATCCTTAGATTAAAGAATACATTTTTAGTATGGATAGGATATTACACAAGGAAAGTATTGAGACTTTCCTTAAGTGTGATAATGGTAGGAGAACGTCCTAGTTTTTAGGTGACCCCTGCTTGTATACGGGCGCTCCTCCCTTGCGCTGTTGCAGTGTGAATTCTGGTTACGTGGTCTCACTAAATAACACCGGTGTCCCAGCAACACAGGTCAAATACCATTTACCGCGGTCTCTCACCTGTGCGTGACTGCATGAAGTTCTAACCGCCGCATGCTTCGAGCTCTGCCATCCACGCATCACTACTTCAGGAACACCTGTGCACAGTTATACACAGTGTATAGCTGTGTTATCTCCTTATCTCTCAGCCGTAAACCCTCTGACATTTTACAAAAAAAAAAAAAAAAAAACTAATTGAAAGAGGCAGTTGGCCAACAAAGATGTAAATGCAGCAGGGCCACCCACCTGGCTCAGTCACTGGAACCTGTGCCTCTTGATCTCGAGGTCAGGAGTTTGATCCCCACGCCGGGTGTAGAGAGCCCTTAAATAAAACGTTAATACGTAAATAAAAATAAAAGTGGCAAAACCATAATACATGGTAATGCCAGAGATCATGGGCACTCGCTCTGGGTTGAAGAAAATCTGGTGATACAGGGTACAAGCCTTCACGTTCTGCATCCCTTTAGTAAGCAAGCTTCACTTCTAAGGACCTATCCTGTGAAAATTCAGAGTACTTTATTAAAAAAAAAAAAATTGACAACAATGTAAATGCCCAAAAATAGGACACTGCTGAATTTATGAGACCGCCATATCCATTTATGGGATGCCAAGCAACCATTAAAAATGTTAAGGGATGGCTCGAGGCGCCTGGGTGGCTTAGTGTGTTAGGCCTCTGCCTTCGGCTCAGGTCATGATCCCGGGGTCCTGGGATCGAGCCCCACGTCGGGCTCTCTGCTTGGAGGGGAGCCTGGTTCCCCTTCTCTCTGTCTCTGCCTGCTTCTCTGCCTGCTTGTGATCTCTGTCTGTCAAATAGATAAATAAAATCATTGAAAGAAAAAATGTTAAGGGATGCTTAGGGTGGCTCAGTCAGTTAAGCATCTGCCTTCGGCTGAGGTCATGATCCCAGGAACCTGGGATCGAGCCCCACATCGGGCTCCCTGCTCAGCAGGAAGCCTACTTCTCCCTTTCCCACTCTCCCTGGTTGTGTTCCCTCTCTCGCTGTCTCTCTCTCGCTGTCTCTCTCTGTCAAATAAGTAAAATCATGTTTTAAAATGTTAAGGAAAATGTAGTGATGTGGAAAGCTACTCTGCAAATACATTAAGACAATTGATTAAAGGATATATTCCAAATGTTAATGTTTTCTTAAAATCTTTAGTTCTTTTTCCCCAAACTTTTATAATAAATGTATGTTACTTCAATTTTTAAAAAGTTGCAGTGGAGTGTTGGGGAAAAATATAAAAAGAGGAAGAAAAGAGATGGAAGCCACTGTATCAGATTAGCTATTGGTCTCGCTACAGTGTTGAATTTGGTCGGACCCAGGGCCAAGTGGGCTTTTTTCCCCCAAGTCGAATCCAAGGACCGTCCACCAGAGGGCGACCTTAGGTCCCCAAAGTAGACACACCCAGAACGACCACCTCTGAAAGAGGGTATACGGCAGCAGCGGGCTGGAAATAGCACCCTTGTGCTTTATTATCCTGAAGACTGGAGCACTTTCTTCCCCTCGATGGAAATTAAAGGACTGGGGGAAACTTGCTGCGTGTGGAACCGATACTTAAGGTCTTACTCAGTTCCAAGATTCCGTGATTTCTTTAGCAAAATGGACACTTAATCCTTGAAACTTTTAAAAGTGTAGCTTCTCCAGGCCAGCTCATCGGAGGTCTTCCAAAGACGGTGCTCTTAAGTAACTTCCACAGATCATCACAAATAACCCAGTAGTTGAAGCTTTCCAACCCAGGCAGCTTGAGGACCACAGGCAAAAATATAAATCTTAACATTATATTAACCGGGTCCCTATAATGATGCAAAAATAATCATGAAACTCCCTAATTCTCAGTTTTCCATGATAGTAAAGGGTCAAATAGTGGAAGTGCATTAATCATACCTTTAGCTTTCTGTAAGGGGATGACCTTGGGTCCTCTGATATCTGCTCCTGACTTTGTCCTGGGATCTTCCTGTAGGCGATCTTTCTCGCATTGTTCCTCTCCCTGATGCTGAACTGGATGCCGTGGCTTTCCAAAGAGAACGAACAACAAACAGGGAGGATCTTGGCACTCTTGGGTAATTCAAGTAGTTCTAACTACTAACACCGGATTTTGTCACCGCCCCACATTTATCCACGCAGGGATCTTGTCTCTGGTTAGCGGGGCTGCTCCTCCGCTGCCCCAGGCAAACCTTGCATCACTAACACGTTCTTCCCAAGACTCACTGCTGCCCTCTCGGTGCTTCACCTCTCGTCCGTGTCCTCCATCTCCTCCGGAGTCTTTCCCTCCTGAGCCCCAGAGGCCATTTCCGACCACTCACTGTCTGTATCTGGATGCGTGCACCTGTCTCAAATCAAACCTGTCCCGGTCAGGGTGGCCTGCCCTGCAAACCCACTTCTTTACTGTATTTTCTCATTTTTTTAAGAAAGATTTATTTATTTATTTGAGAGAGAGAGCCGGGGGGTGGGGGGCAGATGGTGATCAAGAGCGAATCCAGTGCAGACTCTGCAGAGCCCGACATGGGGCTCGATCTCATGACCCTGAGGTCACAACTGGGCCTAAACCATGAATCAGACGCTTAACCCCTGCACCACCCAGTCGCGCCTCTATTTTCTCATTACAATTAAGAACAACCCCCACCCTCTAAAAAAATGTCAGCGTGATCCTAAGTTCTCACATTCATTCGCCAAGCCCGCAGGAAACTGCCCTTTAGATAACAGACTGGAGCTGCGCCTGTCACGCCCATGAACCTCACCAACGCGGCGGGAATCAAGAAAGTTAATGCTCTAATCCTGGGAAATAGCACATATGTATATAAATATACACAGAAGTGTGTGTGTGTGTGCATATATATTTTTTTTAATGAGTGCATGAGAGGGACATCTGGGTGGCTCAGTCAGTTAAGCCGCTGCCTTCGGCTCAGGTCGTGATCCCAGGGTCCTGGGATCAAGTCCTGCTTTGGGCTCCTTGCTTGGCAGGGAGCTTGCTTCTCTCTCCGCCTCTGCCTGCCACTCTGCCTGCTAGTGCGCATGCTCTCTCTCTGACAAATAAAATCTTAAAAAAAAAAAAGTGCATGGGAATGATAAACTCAAATTCAGGATTAGATTAGCTCTCTGAAAGGGATACCATCACAGATGAACACTAGCAGACCCTAGAAGTGGCGATCACTTTATTTTAGGGAGAGACAGAGCATGAGCGGTGGGGAGAGGGAGAGAGAGAATCTTAGGCAGGCTTCACGCCCAGCGGTGAGCCCGATGCAGGGCTCTATCTCACAACTCTGAGAATACGACCTGAGAGATCAAGAGTTGGATGCTTAACCAATTCAGCCACCCAGGCGCCCCTAAATAAATCTTTACACCCAACATGGGGTTCAAACTCATGACCCCAAGATCAAGTCACGTGCTCTATTGACTAAGCCAGTGGGGCACCCAGTGCAATCACAAGTATGCAGAGAGGCAGGCATAGAGAGAGAGAGGAGAAAGCAGGCTCCCCGCTGAGCAGAGAGCCCGATGTGGGCCTTGATCCCAGGACCCTGAGATCACGACCCGAGCCGAAGGCAGAGGCTTAACCCACTGAGCCACCCAGGCACCCCAATCACTTATTTCTTAAGCTGAGTTGGAGACACACTGCTATGGGGTAGGCACCCCATTCCTTACAAGATCTTTAAAAATTAATCTAATTTCAAACTGTTTTCCTAGCTCTCCTTTCATTTATCCATGGTCTTGAATTGCTGGATTGCTCTTCCCTCTTTCTAAAAGGCTTTTTTTTTTTTTAAGCAAGAGCTTTTTTTTTTTTTTTTTTTTGTCTTTGTCCATCTGAAGAATTTTATCTGACTCATCCTTCAAAACAAATGTCAAGTTTCAGTCTACGACACCTTCTCTGACTTCCTCAGGAGATTTATTTTCTTTTCGGTGATTCCCCAAGCACTAGGCACATACATGCTGGCGAGTTTTATGTCCTGTTATTCCTTCTGTCTTTGTCTTGGTTTGTGTGTCTCTGGCTATGTCTCCCAGTGTGGTCTGTGGGTGAGCAGCATTGACATCTCCTGGGATTTTCAGAAATGCACAGTTGTAGACCTCACCCCGGAATCTGCATTTGAACAAAATTCCCAGGTGATCCCTTTGCACAATGAAATGTGAGAAACACGTAGGACCGTACTCCCAGCGTCTGGGTCACTCCTAGAACTGTTCGTGTCTAGTCCAAGATAAATGCAGAAATTGAGAGCAAATGTTGAGAAAGTCTTATGGCAGTTGGACCAATTTTGGACATACTGTATCTAATTTTCAAAATGGGTTTGGATTTTACATGCTCTTATTGTTCTTCGTTTTTCTAGCAAATCAATTTCTGTTGTATTTTATAACCGCCTCAATCCCTGGGGCGCCTGGGTGGCACAGTCATTTGAGCGTCCCACTCTTGGTTTTGGCTCAGGTCATGTGTGACCTCAGGATTTTGGGATCCAGCCCCCCTCAATGGGCTCCACTCTCAGGGCAGAGCCTGTTAAGATTCTCTCTTTCTCTCTCTCCTCCCTCCCCCCCCGACTCTCCCTTACACGTGCTCACATGCTCTCTCTCCCTTTCTCAAATAAATAAGTAAATCTTAAAAAAAAAAATAGTGACACCTGGGTGGCTCAGTCAGTTGGGTGGCTGCCTTCATGATCCCAGCGTCCTGGGACGGAGTCCCACATCAGGCTCCTTGCTCGGCAGGGAGCCTGCTTCTCCCTCTGCCTCTGCCTGCCATTCTGTCTGCCTGTGCTCACTCTCTGGCGCGCGCGCTCTTGCTCTCTCTCTCTCTCTCTCTCTCTCTCTCGCTCTGACAAATAAATAAATAAATAATCTTTAAAAAAAATAAAAACACATAAACTTAAAAAAAATAGTATCAGTCTCCAGTGGGTTGGAATTTTTGCTGGGGGGGGGGTTGGAATTTTTAAGTCCTTCATGATAGTTGGAGAACTGCCACAAAGGTGGGTTTATTCTTTGGTTTTGGTTTTGTTTTTTTTTTTCCAGCATTTAATAAGCGGTATGCACAGTGGAGTTTCAGCAACTGTTGGTGAATAACTGCTTAATGAAATATAACTATTTTTGGCCTACATTTGCATTTTTGACAGCAAAATGTCCACCGTTACCTGTTCAAGAGATAAAAACAACCCCATCTATGTAGCTCCAGTTTTCAACAGTCTGGTTCAACGCCCAGAAAGAACCTTGAAAGAGAAGAAGCTTTTCAAGCTGGCAGGAGATATTTTGGGTATGGAGGGCAAACAGTAATGGGTCGATCCTGCAGCACATTTCCCAGCAAAGGGGGAGTGGGAAGAAAGTGAAAATACAGGACAGCGAAAAGCTATCTTAAAATTCTGAGGGTACCTGTGTAGCTCGGTCATTAAGCATCTATCTTCAGCTCAGATCATGATGCCAGGGTCCTGGGATCGAGCCCCGTATCAGGCTCCCTGCTCAGCGGGGAGCCTGCTTCTCCCTCTCCCACTCCCCCTGCTTGTGTTCCTGCTCTGGGTGTTTCTCCCTCTGTCAAATAAATGAATAAAATCTTTAAAAAAAATTTTTTTTTAAATGCTCACCTTGGAAAAAACATGGAGCCCTAGGTGGTGTGGTAAATGGGAAGACGCTTGAACTTAGGAGTCATGGTAGGTTGGTGTGTGCTTGGATCAGTCCCTTCCTCGGCACAAGGAACGTAATAACACAGCCTGCTCTCTACACTTCCCAGGCTGGAGGGAAACCGGATATGCCTTCAAAAATGGCAGTCTGCCCAGTGCCAGGGAACTGGGTCAGCACATACAGTGTTGAAGTTATTGGATTTCCCGGACCAAAGAAGGCCAATTCTGTGTTTATTGGCCTTCCCTTTCTGGTGAACACAGTCTGAACACAGAGAGAGAAAGATTGGGGCCAGGGTGCATTTAGTTATAAGAATTGAAATACAACAATTTTCCTGTGGTATATTGTGTACCTTATTTCAAGTAAAATTTCTGATTAGTGGCAGAATAATTCTGGGAAGGCATATATCAGTGTTTGTAGGTCCCCCTATGTGGCAAATACATTGGTTCATCTGTTTACAGATGTTAGGTTGAACCGTATGGAATTGCCAAGTCTTAGGAACCATGGAGAAGGTGTAGAGAATTTCTAAGCTAACCACTCAACTGATTGTTTCCCCCTCTTGTATCCTAGTTCAAATCCTCTTCCTTACCTTGTTGATGACTACAGTCTACTCAGCACAGAACTCGAATAGGTTTTACCTCCATCAAGCGATCCAGAGGAGCTTTTCCCATCGTCTCTCAGAGATCAGACTTCCAAAGCATTTCTACCTGTGGGCCAATCGCACCCTCCTTCCCAACCTGTACGGAGATTACAGAGGTACGGACCCAGTCCCGGGCGCCAGCTCCTTGGACACTTCTTGGTCGATGTTTTCCACCAGCTACCAATGCGTTGTCGTTACTTTAGATCTTGAGTGAGCTGTATTCTGGAAGTTGTTGAGTTCATTTATCCTCAGGATCAGTGGCTTCCTTGTGGGATTTAGAACATCCTTTAGGTTCCTGGGGAAAGAAACCTAAAAGACATGCTCATCTCAGTAAAGGTGTTTTGAGTTCATTTTGGAGGGTTTTTACACAGATTGCAATTCCTATGCATTGCATGTTGATTCCTTTTTTTTAAAAAGTATTTAATTATTTATAGTGCCTGTGTACCGGCGGGGGGGAGGGGCAGAGGGAGAAGGAGAGAGTCCATCTCCCACAGACTCCATGCTGAACCCATCACAGGGCTCAGCAGAGGGGCTCGGTCTGATGACCCTGAGATCACGACGTGAGCCGAAATGAAGAGTCGGGCTGAGTCCCTTGGGTGCCCCATGTGTTGATTCTTTCTAGTTCGCGTTTGGATGGTGACGGCTGTAGGTTCAGCACACATTGTATGGGCAGTCTGTAACTTTGTGCTGAATAAAATACTGACCACATAGAAAGTGAATCAAGCCCTGGGTGGCCTCGGCTGATGCCAGCGCGACAGGCATGGTCCCCCTTCAGTCTGGGGCTCTGCGGTATAGTGTCTGAGAGGACAGACTCGGGGGCCAGACTCTGGCCAGGTTCAGATCCTGGCACTCTACCTATTAGCAGTGTGTTCTTGGGTAAATGACAACGTGTTGTGCCTCAGTTTCCCCATCTATATTATGAGGATAATCTTAGGACTTGCCCTGGAAGATTGATTAAAAATTCAATAGATCTTAGAACAATGTCTGACCCATAGTATACACTGGATAAGTTGTTTCTAAAACAGTTTTAAATTTTATTCATTTGAGAGAGAGCAAGAACACAAGTAGAGGGGAGAGGCAGAAGAAGAGGGAGAAGCAAACTCCCTGCTGAGCAGTGAACCCGAAGTAGGGCTCGATCCCAGGACCCTGGGATCATGACCTGAGCGGAAGGCAGAGGCTTAACCCACTGAGCCACCCAGGCGCCCCATGTATACATTCTCAATCTTAAAAGATACTGCCAGTCTTCTCCTTATTGTACCAACTAATGCTCCCATGAGCAATGTCTGAGTCTGCCCACATCTCCAACAGCCTGGTGCAAACTGGTGTTTTCAAACAATACCCAGGTCTCTGGAATAGGTGAGAGGCTTTGTAAGTGCCCTCGTGAGAAAATGCAAGTCATAACTGAGGAAGGTGCTGTTTTCCACCTCTCATTTGGGCCAACCTTCCCTCTGCCCTTGCCGTTCTTCATTCCGTCCTCCCCATGCTATGGTTTTGAACATAAATCTGTATTCTTCCCCTGTTCAGAACCTCCCGTAGTTTCTATCATACTTCAAATCGCAGACCCTTTCCAGAGCTTACAGGGGACTTCCCAGAGCTGCCCCTGGCTACATCCGGACCCTCCTCCACTCCCTGTCAGCCGCGCAGGCTTCGGTGCCTTCCCACATGAGCACGTTCTCACCTCAGGGGCCTGGGATCATGCTGATGCCCGGAGAGATCTCCGCATTGTGGTCTCTCTCACAAGCCACTCCTCAGAGAAACTGTCTCTAAGCCTTCCTTACCAACAAATAGCACTGTTCCCTCCCCACCACTCGCTGTCCCTCATCCTACCTAATTTTTGTTTTTAGCACTCTCATGCCCTGGATAATGTTTGGGTACTGCCTGTCTCTCTCGCTTCTCAAATGTGCGCTCCCTGTGGACGAGGACGCTCTTTCATCCACTCTGCTCCTGGCACCTAGAGCAGGGCCTGGTGTGAGCTCCGTACGGACTGACTGAGGGGCACCTGGGTGCCTCAGTTGGTTAAGCCTCTGCCTTCAGCTCAGGTCATGATCCCAGGGTCCTGGGATCGAGCCCCTCATCAGGTTCTCTGCTCAGCAGGGAGCCTGCTCCCCCCACTCTCTCTCTCTGCCTCTCTGCCTACTTGTGATCTCTGTCTGTCAAATAAATAAGTAAAATCTTTTAAAAAAAGTGTATTCAGGTCTTTTGCCCATTTTTATTTATTTTTTTTTTAAAGATTTTATTCATCCACTTGACAGACAGAGATCACAAGTAGGCAGAGAGGCAGAGAGAGAGGAGGAAGCAGGCTCCCCGCTGAGCAGAGAGCCCGATGCGGGGCTCGATCCCAGGACCCTGGGATCATGACCTGAGCCGAAGGCAGAGGCTTTAACCCACTGAGCCACCCAGGTGCCCCTTTTGCCCATTTTTAAATCCGTTATTTTTGTGGTATTCAGTTGCGTGGGATCCTAGGTATTTTGGATATTGACCCCTTATTAGATGCATGGTTTACAAATACTTTCTCCCGTTGCATAGTTTGACTTTTTACTTTGTTGGTCTCCAGCACTGTGCAGAAAGTTTTTTGTTGTATTCTCCCTTGTTTAATTTTGGTTTCTGATGTTCTCTCCAAAGAAATGCCAAGACCAATGTCAGGGAGCTTTGCACCTGTTTTCTTCCAGGAGTTTTACAGTTCCAGGTCTTACAGTTGAGTTGGGAATCCATCTGGAACTGATTGTTGTATGTGGCATAGGGAAAGGGTCCAGTCTGATTCTCTTGCATTCAGGTATCCAGTTTTTCCAGTATCGTTGGTTGAAGAGACCATCTTGCCCCGCTGTGTATACTTGGCACCCTTTCCATAGAGGAGTTGGCCGTAAATGCATGAGTTGATTCTGGCCTCCCCATTTAGTTCCATCATCCTGTGTGTCTGTTTTTATGCCAATAGCACACAGTTTTGATTACAATAGCTTCTGTAGTGCGGTTTGACATTAGGACATGGGATGCCTCCAGCTTTTTCCTTTTCAAGATCACTCTGTCTCTTTGGCATGTTTGGTGGGGTTCACACAAATTTTAGGATTGTTCTTCTATTTCTGTGAAAAAAACGCCTGAATTTTGATGGGTATTGCACAGAATTTGTAGATCACTTTGGGTGATATGGACATTTTAATAATATTCTTTTAATGCATAAACAGGGAATATCTTTCTAGTTATTTGTGTCTTTATTTCTTTCATCAGTGTCTTACGGTTTTCATTGTACAAACCTCTCACCCTCTCAGTTAAATCTATTCCCAGATATTTTCTTCTTTTTGATACTTTTGTAAATGAGATTATTCTCCTTCTTTTTCTGGTAATTCGTTGTCCATGTAACAAAATGCACCTGATTTTTGTGTACTGATTTTGTTTCCTGCAACTTTACTAAACTCATTTATTGGTTCTCACGGGTTTGTCTTTGTTTTTGTTTTTGTGGCGTTCTACAGGGTTTTCTATATATAAGATCATGTTATCTGTACCTGGGATCATGACCCAAGCCAAAGGCAGACGCCTAATGACTGAGCCACCCAGGCGCTCCTTTGTGCATCTTTGGAAATCATCATGTGATTTAATCCTTCGTTCTGCTAATGTGGTATATCACGTCTACTGAGTTGTGTATGTTGAGTCATCTTGCAACTCAGGACATAAACCACTCGGTTGCAGTGTGTGATCTTTTTAAATGTACTTTTGAACTTCATATGTTTGTATTTTGTTGAGGATTTTTGCATTTGTGTTCATCAGGGATACTGGCCTGTGATTTTCCTTTCTTGTAGGCTGTGGTATGAGGGTAATGTTGGCCTCATAAAATGAATTTTGAACAGTTTCTTCCATTTTAATTTTTTTTAAAGATTTTATTTATTCATTTGACAGAGATCACAAGTAGAGAGGCAGGCGGGGAGGGGGGGGAAGCAGGCTCCCCACTGAGCAGAGAGCCCAATGCGGGGCTCAATCCCAGGACCCTGAGATCATGACCCGAGCTGAAGGCAGAGGCTTAACCCACTGAGCCACCCAGGCGGCCCTCCATTTTAATTTTTTGAAAGAATTTGAGGATTGATGTTAATTCTTCTTTAAATGTTTGGTAGAATTCACCCATGAAGCCATCTGGTCCTGGTCTTGTCTTTGTTGGGAAATTTTTGATTACGGTCTCCTTATTTGTTAATAGTCTGTTCAGATTTTCTATTTTGTCTTTATTTAGGCTTGATAAGCTGTGTGTTTCTAGGAATTTATCCATTCTAAGCTGTCCAGTTTGTTGGCATACAGTTGTTCGCAGTAGTCTCTTATAATCCTTTGTTTTTGTGATACCAGTGTTAATGTCTACTTTTTAATAATTTTATTTGAATCCTCTTTTTCTTGGTTTAGCCTAAAGGTTTATCAGTTTTGTCTTTCAAAATATTTTTATTTTTGTATATTCTATTTAACTTGTCTTTATTTCATTTATATCTACTCTAATCTTTATTATTTACTTCCCTCTGCTAACTTTGGGCTTAGTTTGTTCTTTTTTTACTAGTTTCTTGAAGACCAAAGTTAGCTTGTTTAGTTGAGAGCTTTCTTTTTTTCATAAAATAGGTGTTTATTACTATAAAATGCCCTCTTTAGAACTGTTTTTGCTGCATCCCATAAGTTTGGTATGACATTTTTATGTGCATTTTTGTTTGTCTCAAGGTACTTTTTAATTTCCTAACTTGACCCATTGGCTGTTCATAAGTGTGGTGTTGAATATCCATGTGTTTGTGAATTTTCCAATTTGCATCCTGTTACTGATTTCTGATTTCATACATTATGGTCAGAAAGAATACTTGATATATATGCTTTCAGTCTCCTTAAATTTGTGAAGATTTGCTTTGTGGCCCAATGTAGGATCTATCCTGGAGAATGTTCCAGGTGTACTTGTGAGGAATGTATATTCTGGTTGAATGGAATGTTCTACATATATCTTTTAGGTCCATCTGGCTCATAGTATTAACTTACTGATTTTCTGTCTAGACAGTCTATCCATTGTTGACAGTGGGGTATTGAAATCACCTACGGTTACCATATTGCTATCTATTTCTTCTATCAGGTAACATTTACTTTACTTATTTTGGTGTTCCAAGGTTGGGTGCATATATATTTACAATTGTTTTGTCCTCTTTATGAAGTGAGCCACTTTATCATAAGTGATCTTCCCTGTCTGTTGTGACTGAGTTTCACTGAAATTCTGTTTTTTTGTTTTATTTTGTGTAGATTTTATTTATTTATGTATCAGAGAGAGGGAGTACAAGCAGGGGGAGAGGCATGCAGAGGGAGAGGGAGAAGCAGGCTCCCCGCTGAGCAAGGAGCCCAACATGGGGCTTGATCCCAGGGATTGTGACCTGAGCTGAAGGCAGCCACTTAACCAACTGAGCTACCCAGGCACCCCTGAAATTCTGTTTTTTCTGTTATAAGTTAGAGCTACTTCTATTCTCTTTTGGTTGCCATTTGCATGGGATATTTTTTTTTCCAAACCTTCAGTTTCAGCCTATGTGTGTACTTAAAACTAAAGTGAGTCTCTCATAGGCAGTATATTATTGGATCTTGTATTTTTACCATTCAGTCACTCTGTCCTTTGATTGAAGAATTTAATCTTTTGACATTTAATTATTGATAAGAAGAACCTTCTATTGGCACTTTATTATTTTCTGATTGTTTTTTCAGTTCCTTTGTTCCTCTTTTATTCTTTTAGTATCTTTGTGATTTATATTTTTGTAGTGGTATGCTTTAATTCCCTTCCTTTCATTGTTTTGCATTTATTACAGATTTTGCTTTACTGTTATCATAAGGCTTATGTAAAATATTTTATAACAGTCTGTTTTAAGCTGAAAACAACTTAACTTTAATCACATAAAAAGCTCTACATTTGGAGGTGCCTGATTGGCTCAGTCAGTAGAGCATGCAACTCTTGATCTCAGGGTTGTGAGTTCAAGCCCCACACTGGGTGTAGAGATTATTTAAAAAAAAAAAATAAGATTGTTCTGCCTGTACATTAAAACAACAACAACAACAACCTCTATGCTTTTACTTCTCCTTTCCTTGTGCTTTATGTAATTGATGTCCCACTGCCTTTCTTCCTATGCTGTCACTCACTGACGTATTATTATAGTGGTAGTTATTTTTAACACTATAGTCTTTAACTTTTATACTAAAGATAAAAGTGATTTACACACCACTACAGTAGTACCAAGCTCTGAATTGGACTATATATTTACCTTTACCTGTGAGTTTTATACTTTCATGTTGTCACACAGCCTCCTTTCCTTTCAGCTAAAAGAATTCCCTCTAGCATCCCTCATAAGACCTGGTGGTGATAAACTCCCTAATCTTTTGTTTGTCTGGGGCTGATTTTAGCTCTCTTCACTTCTGAAGGACAGTTTTGTTGGGTATAGTGGTTTGGGTTGGCAAGTTTTATTTTGTTTTTTTCTTTCAAGTACTTTGAATATATCATTCTACTCCCTCTGGCCTGCAAGATCTCTGCTGAGAAATCTGATAGCCTTTGGGGGCTTTTGTGTGTGTGTGTGTGTGTGTGTGTGTGTGTGTGTGTGTGTGTGTGTGT